TTCTATGTTATATTTATAGATAAACACTAGTTATTGGAGAAAAATAAGCAATAAGTTAGTTGAAACTATCTTATATTTCATAACATAATTGATTATTGTCATCTTATTTGTCAAGTTCAGAATAATGCTGTTACGTTGATCAGAATGGTTGAATTACAAAGCTCATCTAGAACTATCTTAACGATTACATTAAGGAATTTTGTACTGAAAGAACAAATTTACAATTCATTGAATTATATATCGATTATATTTATTTAAATATGTTGTCAACAAGATACAAAATGAAGAGTACCTAAATTGACTTTCAGTAATAATGTATTTATAGTTTTACATTATAGTTTCATGGAGATCATGATTGAATCATTGTTAGACCATCTTTAGAAACCTGCTAGGACTGGACGACTGTTTCATCCTGGTGTAGGACTCATCAGCACTGCATATCCATTACTCTTGCTACTCGCAGGAATCGAATCTAAGACCTCCGTTCATGCGCGCGAACACTTAACCCTTGAATCGCCGAGCCGGTTTTCAGTGGTGTTAGTGTCTAACTCTGATCAATCTAAGGATACAGCCTTTTTACAGCTGTAAATAAATTATGCTGAAATAATATTTGTAATAATCACATAATTTTAGAATTCTGCTTAGATATATTAAAGCATTTATGATACCAAGTAAAAATTGTGTTAAAAATAAAGCCTGAACTGGAATTTTTTCTTAGGAGGGAAAAGCTTTTGTAATATGATGATGCACGAAAAGTTGTTCGTTAAGAAAATTGATAAAACTCACTCAAATAACTGATATCAGAATAGGGAAACACATTGTCAGCAGAATATGGTTGTTTTCTAGTAAAATTATCAGAAACACCAAGCATGAACGAACTGACGAATGAAAAACCACTACAATGTAAACAAGATTTTTTTTTCAAATAAAACCTTAATTTGTATATTTCGTTGGTCGTTCAAGCGCTAAAAATGAAAAAAATTAGCTCAAATTTAAGTCTTTCATTTCAACATTTATACATAAATCTATGAAATGAAACAAAATAGCATAAGAACATAATCATCGCGTAAAGTTTTCAATTTTGATCTGATTGTAAACATAAACTCATTTCAGGAAAATATTTACATCTTTTTAGAATTGTTTTCAAGAATTAATGAAATTTTTTTGCATCATATAAATAAATGATATCTCTGTGCAAAAACAGTGTTCTACATTGTTCTACAAACCGGCATTTCATTTGTTAAATGTCAAATAAAGTAGTAATTTACATTTCTTCTTCCTTTTCGTATTATTATTATTATTATTATTATTACTACTATTACTATATCTAGTTATTGAACTTTGAAAATTTTGTTTTAATTCATTTAAAACTTATGATTTACTGAATATATAGGGCTTAAAGCGATACAATTTATTATTACTGATGTTTTGTTTTGATTAGAAAAAGAAATGCTCATTTTACTATCGCTAGTTGTATCCAGGAAAAAAAATGATATTTACAACTTTGCCCATAACTCTTTAAAAAATACTATTTGCGAAAGACTTGCGTTATTTTGTTTATGTTATTTAAGACATTGCATTTTGATTCTAGTTGGTCCTTTTCGTTTTCTAGTAATTTTTAAGAAAAATGTGTAGTATGTGTTGAAAATGTCGAATCAACATTGGATGGTATATCTATTCAGAGTTGTGAAATACTTTTGTATTCTGTTATGATACTACTAAACAGTAGTATATTTATTTCATTAAAATTTTCGGGACCAAAATTTTACAAACACGTGTTTTATAAAATCGAGTTAGGTTTCCTTTGTTCATATTGGCGATTAAAATGTTTGTAGCTGAAGCGAACGTCAGGTGTTTGTTTGTTAAGGTCAGTCAATTCAATCTTTTATTGATGGAGTCATGTCAGTTCACTTTATGCTCCTTAGATAATTTCTTTGATCTGTGGGATTTCTTTTTTATACATAGAGGACGAGTTTAACTAAGATAAATTCCAACTTTGGTGTCTTTTTCAACACAAATATGATAGAGTTTATAATATTTGAATTTTCCTGTTGCATCGATATACAACATATTTCTCTATTAATCATTAGGCAAATCCATGCACTCGTATATTATTATTAGGAATGAAAAAAAATGTAGCACTCAGTAATTTAGTTTTAAACATAAGTTGTTGACTTTTGACTAATTACTTTTGTAAATTATAGACATTAGTTTAATGGTCAATTAATACCTTAATTAATGTAACTAAATTTTATTATTGGCCGGATATGTTTAATGAAAAGAACATTTTAATGTTGTTTTTTTACTGGTTGTAAATTCGTGATGAAGTTTTGCTGGCCAGTGTATTAGTAGGTTCGTGACCGTTGATATTCACCGTATTCTCAGTCTTCTTAATTCGCTCGTCTAGACAATCGTCACCAAATAGCGCCTGACAGTTATAAATCAGAAGGTAAATATGAAGTGTTGAATACTTTTATTATGGACACATCACAAAATGAACCAGCAGACCACAAACACACAAAGTAGGGCAAGCACACTAGCGAGTGGATTAGTTAAAATGCTTGTCTATGTACATAGGAAAAAGTCTAAGTCATCGAGATATTTAAGAGATTAAATATTCGAGCGAATAGGATGAATAAGCGCGTAGGCGTAAGCAATGATCAGTCGTACCAGTGCTCATACAAACCAGACAATAATAAAAGCCAAAGGTACATATAAGTTGTTTCTGTACAAGTGGCTTGGTTAAATAAGTTAATCTAAGGGCATGACCATATTAAATATAAGCGAACTCAAATGTATGTGGAGGCACTACAAAACGTTTAGCTATATAAGTGGACCTTCTATCTATAGACAACTTTAGTCTTGTATTCTTCGCTGTATCGAACCATATCAATCTTGTCGCGTTCAAAGATTGACAAGCAGCAGCTTTTCTGTTATCATAACAGATAGACATGCCAACATTTTTTCCAGTCATTACAAATATTAACCACATTTGATGTTGCAGAAATCAGTTGACTAGTTGTTAGAATAAAATGACATCATAAAGAAACCAAATAGCTGAACACCACTCATTTCAAGTATATAAATCTACTATGATTAATTGAAAATTACTTCAAAGATTGATTTGCATTTATAAATGTTTTTACACTTTGAAATTATTAATCAATCATTGTTAGAACACCATTAGGAACCTGGAAGTGATGGACAGCCATTTCTTCCTGGTCTGAGACTCATCAGCAGTGCGCAGGATTCGAACCGGGGACCTTCGATCTTGCGCGCAAACATCTAACCATTGGATCACTGGACCGACATCCAATGGTGTTAATGTCTAAATGTGATTGATATAGGGATTTTGCGTGACCTCGACCATTTGTTTTTGGTAGTTATTGCCTACACTCGACGGGGTTGAACTGCACTGGTCACGTCTTCTCACTGGAACTCAGATAATTTCCTCACGAAGCTAGTCACTAGTGAGCACATTTTACGATATTTCAGTATTATATCTAAATATTTACATAGGTTAAGATCTCATCACTAAAAATATCGTAAAATATGCTCACTAGTGACTAGCTTCGTGATGAAATTCTCGGAGTTCTAGTGAGAAGACTTGACCAGTGCAGTTCAAACCTGTTGGGTGTAGGCAGTAACTACCAAAGACAAATGGTCTCGACTCTAGGCGTTGCCGCGCAAGACTAAAGGTCCTCGGTTCTGATCCTGCAAGTGTCAGGAGTAGTGGATGCCCACTGCCACTAGTGAGTCCCATTCCAGGACGAAACGGCCGTCCAGTATTTCTTCCAGATTTCTAATGATAGTCTAACAATGACTGATTGATGATTTCAAAAAAAAAAATATATATATATATGTGTTTCAGAGAAAAAATTCAAATTATTGTATAACATAAGAAATCGTATTTTATTCATTGAACTTTTGTTGATGTTAAAGCCTTCTGTCATCACTGAAGACTAAGCTTATGCTATGACATTGAATCTTCACAGTGAATACCAATCAATGTACAAGATGTTAGTGTACATTAAACTGATGAGTATGCATCACATCTTACTACTATTTCCATTTGAATAGATACACATAGTAGAAAAAGGAAGACAATTTCGAATTTTATGCATAAACGTTCGTTGAAATGAAAAATAGAACGACTTCTTGTACTGGGGTTTGATTTTACATTCTTTTTTTCAAAAAAAGGGATTTCTTCGTTGATTTTTTCTCAATTCTTTAAACATCTTTCTGTTTCCTTAAAATGAATTTATCTAACTGAAAAGAAAATTAATTTTATGCAATACATTTTTTAATTCTGAATGAAAAAAAAACCCCGTAAACGAAATTAAATTGATTTGCATACAAACTGACGTAAATCTAACGACTTTCATTAATAATACTATGATCAGTGTGTAATTGTTATACTGTTCATTCGGATGCCATCCATTGGTATGAGCAGCCGGGAAGTAACATCTTCCCTCATACCGTTTAACAGGACACCAGACCGGATCGGTCATAATCAAATCCAGCTTATACCTCTGAATAAATTTCTTACTTCCTCGACTAACCTTTCACTAAAACGACTCTAATTAATTTCGAGTCATGAGAGAGACAATCTTCAGTTCTAAATATATGTATATGGGTATAGTTGAGATGAAAGTTAAGTAGGGAGTGAAATCTTTAAATATCACCTTCTTGAGCGTTACCATGTATCATCGTATCCCAAATAGTCTATTACTTACTGATGTTGGGAATAATGTTGAAAAGGTTCCGTGAAATTTAAGGTACTAGACCATTATCCAAATTTTTAATGATCCTGAAGTTCATTACTCCTGGAATTAAGAACCAGTATGATTGAAACCTTAAAGCCATAGGCGATTTGTTACTGTTCTTCATTTAATATTTAATTGTATATTCTAAAATCCTACCTTTTTTAATGTTTCATTTAATAGTTCAGCAAGTATATATTTCATCGATTAAATTTATTGATCCTTTTTTTTCTGTAGAACTTTCTCATCATCTACAAATGTGAATGCCATAACATCAAAATCAAATGATTTTGAATCTGTCAATGATTTATCATCAAAGAGTCCAATTTTATTTTCCTCCAGATTTCAATCATCAATGTATGAAAATAATAAAGATTTCAAAGAATTATTTTTTCACTGTGATGATTCAAGTAAACAAAACTCACAAAATACCGATGGAAATGTTAATAAACTAGATACTACTAATGATAAACAAGTAGTTAACACAATTCTACATAAAACGAATCACAATGAAAATCCCAATACAATCAATAGAAAAGAATCGATTCAAAATGATTCATCAGAGAATAATATGAAAATATCAGTATTAAATGGAATATGGCCAGGTAATCCATACTCACCACTACCATCACCGGATATATCTGTCTTGGATTCGGATTTAAATGAAAGTATGTGATCATTTTATAAATTTCTTAATAATTTATATTGATTTCAAATGTTTTAAAATGTTTGTAAATGTTTGTTCGGATGAATCATCTGAGAAAACATCAATGAATGACACTTTGAAAGATGTATGAGTACCGAAACACCAAAGGCTATAGGATTAAAAATTATTATACCACAAACATTTATGTAGTTCGGAGGAATCTAAATGCGTACTATTTAGTACTTAGTCGTTGGTGTTACTTATGATTGATAGAATACCATGTGAGATACTGTCACTTGAATGATACGTCTGATGAATGTCCTTTATAACTAAAATGTTGTACATATTTTTTAAAATCTATCCTATGATGATGTCAAAGTTCTTCTTCATCACTCACTCTATACTGGAATGAACTGAACGAAAAATGTAGTCAGTAGTATTGTAGTGAAGGAGAATACAGCTGAGGGCAACCGAATTGTATTTGTCTCAAATTTTAGAGTTAATTGCTAACATAGAAAAACCATATCGTAAATGGTTAATTTGCAAAATATCAATCCATCATATGGAACTGGACTGTTCCTGTTGCAAAACATCAATCCATTGTCTGACATTTCACTGTTCATGCGTTTCGTGAAAATCCCATTGTGTTCGCGCTCTTCCTTTCTTGATCTTCCTCCATCTTCTGCTGCTAGACATTACGTTTTTACTCACGTTATATACTACTTATAAGTAGAGCGCACCACAGTATGAGTCAACGACGCTGTTGATTCGTTATTTATTATAAAATAGATTTTTTATGGACGATAAGTTAAATGATAGTGAATTAGTGAAAGTTTGTTTCTGGCTTTTTCGATAATCGATCTTCTAAAGTAATAAAATTACTCTTTAAGGGTTATCATTATTTTTGATGCTGTAATTATGAAATGGTAATGAATATTTGATTCAGTAAGATATTGAAATAATGTTTTTCTTACTTACTTACTTACATACGCCTGTTATTCTCAATAGAGCATAGGACGCCGACTAGCATTCCCCAACCTACTCTGTCTTGGGCTTCCCTATCCAGTTCTGTCTAGTTTGTGTGTCCATTCTTTTCATATTTGTCTCCATTTCTCAGCGTAATGTGTTCCTTCGCCTTCCTCTTTTCCTTTGAGCTTAAGGATTCCAAGTAAGGGCTTGTCTTGTGACAACTTTCAGTTACTTCCACAATGTGTGTTCTATTCACTTTGGGAGCTCAACTCAACAATAAAATATTGAGTTTTATTGAAATCATAATTCGAATAATATTAATCCATCAAAAGACACCCTAGAAGTATTGGAGGGCCGTTTCGTTCTCGTAATGGACTCATCAGTAGTTCACATTCATGGCGCACTCGCGGTCGATCGATTCATGATTTCAATGAAACTTAAAAATCTCCACAACCTTTTAATGAAATGAAATAGTTGATTTATTGTTTTATAGCACAATATGCTGTTATTAATGGTTGTACAGTATATTTTAATTTTACCACAACGTAACACTCACAGTGTGTATTTGATGGGTGATTCATTTCAATATTGATTATAATTTAATATCGGTTAAATATTAGTACATAATGATATTTAAACAAACTGATTGGTTAATTATATATAATAAAGTATGGTATCAATTTATTGAGTAGCCATTTGATTGTATTATTTGTACAAATGACAGAATTCATTCTGACTGTACAATCTGAAACCAGGCAAATAACTTGTGGTCATATCTAACTCAAAATATTCCCGTCAGTAAAATCATTGAAGAATACTAGTAGGTCTCAGTATGAATAATATGAACGAAATGAAGTATATCTTGGTGACGAACCTGAAATACCACGAATCATGTACAACTGCTGCCCCAGTTAGCCGATTGCAAAATGTTCCACATTGATAGAACAGTGTGAAGATGTAGAGTTGATCTGAAAAATGTGATGTATTTGCGCTATACATTTCGAACAATCTGGTCACACATATTTACTTGTCAAGGCATTTTATATGAAGATGAATAAAAGGTCAATTAAATAAAAGTTCAATAGACATAAGGTGATGATAACTGTAAATAAAGGAGAGAGAAAATTAACGTAATATGAAAAGAATAAGAAGGGGTAGGAAAATTGTCACTTTACCCTAGGCTTAAAGATTACCAAGGTAAATTTAAGGTTATGACAAATTGTTTCTGCACACATAAGGGGGGTTTTAATTTTCTAATAGCCAAGGCCTCCATTTAAAATGCCTTGACAAGTAAATATGTGTGATCAGATTGTTCGAACAATGTATAGCGCAAATACATCACATTTTTCAGATCAATTACGTCTTCTCACTGTTCTATCAAAATTTATAAAAGGGACTAATTGTTTTAAAGTTCCACATTGAGTGGAAACGTTTTTAGATTATCATTAGTATTATGTTATGAAGAGTGAAACAAGAGACCTTGACGAGCAGTACAAGACATTATTGCACCTAATCCAAAGCCCACTAAATACTGATATTTATTTTGGTTCCTATCTTATTTTGTAAATCTTAGGATTTCAGTTGATGTATGATTTATTGTCATAGTTTGTTTTGCTCCAAAATTATTGCAACTGAAACTAAACACTCATGCTCTATTGTTTGTCACTAAATGGTTAGTTTGGGTATGAAACTAATTTTCTAAATACTTATGCGTTGTGGTCTGGCAAAGTATGTATTTATTCATCTAACTTTTTCTCGTCAATGGAATCCGGAATAAATCGACTGGTGTTTCATTCGATTCATCTTTTCTCTCACTCTCGCTTGCTAGCCTATCCAGTAACAGAACAGTTTCTTCTCTCTGTCAAGGCCATTCAGTGATAACCATGCCATTAATCTCAAGGTTAACTAGGTAGCCTAGTGCGTCAGGACAAAAATTATCTCGATTCTTGGACGTAACATATCCGTAGATCATTTTAATTCTTACGAGCAAAATTTTCACCTCCATATTAATCTTTGATCACTTCAGTTTACTACTGTTAAACTGAATAGTTTATCAGATAACACAGTAAAGTTGAAACAGTGTTTATCACTTTGAATATTAAAGATGAAACAAAGTGGTCTGAACTTAGAGAATTATTCAAGATAACCTGATTCAATCAATTTAACGCTTAATAACTGTCCAATCAGTAATGTAGTGAATTACTCAGATGACGAACAATATCAAACAGAATTAGACACAGCAAAACAACAGTCAATTGATATACTTCCCAAATTGAAGTCCTACTTTGTTTTTACTCGTAACTATGACAACCGTAGTTATCTCAGGAATATGTTCATTTTTTTATATGCATGAGAAAATTTCTACACTCAAACACATATTTAGAAATACTGACTGGTCTACTATTCAACACTATTTAATTATGTCAACAATACGCTAACTAATATTCAATTCCGTTAGCTTCCTAAAATACAGAGTTTACAATCGTACTATCAAAGAAGTCATTTATCAGCTTTGCAGTAGTATGTACGCATACCTGTTGACAAAACCTTTAATCGCATTACAGTTGACATCCGTTTATTGTGTATGTGTTTGTTAAGATATACCATTAATATTAGTATTGTAAAACCGCCTAAATTACCTTTTGGTCCTATTTCAAAGACCGATGTTTAATCATATGAGCTATTAAAACAATGAACATGTCTATCATTTGGTCCATAATATTTTGGAAGAGATATTTCAAATAAAAATACATAGCTAATTCAGCTGATAAAATTAAATATTATCATAATGTCTAAAATGTATTATTGTTAGATTTGCGACTGAAAAACCGAGAACATAAATAGAAATGAAACTTTAGTTCCAATACATCAACTAAAATAACTATTCAAAATTATTATAGAATGTCGTGAATATTGTTGAGTTTCAAAACTGATATAATCGAACAACGACCCCGCTGTGAGCGGCAAAATTTGATCATATCAGGCGCTATATACAATTCCCTATGATGATATAAGATGATCGTTACCGAATATATTGTGAGTTGACATGTTGGATGCTGGGTTAGTGTTTCAAATGTGAAGAGCTTGCAGTGATGCTATAATATTCACGATTCGATTGATTGTGTGACCATAGAACAGTACCATTGAAAATTCCCATGCACTGATAAAGCAACGATTCATTGTTTCAATGATTTTCAATGTTTGTCCAACCAAGATCAGTCTATTGTGTAAACTATAATATGCATCATGAATTCTATCTTCTCGGGTTAATTGATAAGAACAAATGTTAGCACTTAAAATGTCATGTGAAAATCTAGTCTAGTTGAGAATTGCTCTTCATATCCTTGAGTAAAATATGTTGTAAATAAGTATTTGACTTCGTTCACATTATCAAGTTTATGTGTACACTATTCATGACATGGACTTAATTAGGACGAAGTAAAAAAAATGACTTGAGATAATGAAAAATTTTGTTTGCTAATTGTATAACATTCTTAAGTTTAAGAGAAAAGTAATATAGTTTTGAAAATTGTGTATCAGAAATATATGCATTCACATATTATCTGATAACTGAACAAAATTCAAATATATCTAAAGTAAAGATATCGGCAGACTTAAGTTAATCATCTAAAAAGAAATCGTGGATAATAGAAAGATGTTTCATTCTAAACAGTATTCATTCGTATCACTACTGGAGATCATTTTCTAAACATTCCAAGGTAAAATCTATGTTTGTGAAAAGTTTGGAATTTCCAGAAAGTTAAGTGAACATAAAATGACTTGATGACAAAACAAATCAGTGTTTACACACTTGAACTGAAGTACGTTTTAGGAAACCGGAAAAAAAAGTCAACATGTCTTTTAAAGAGAATGCTACTTGATTGGTGAATCGAATGTTTAAACTATTTTAGAAAACAACTTGACTAAAGATTGTTAAAAAAATAATTCAAAATGTTTCAATTGTTAGTTTTCAAACTTATTTGTTTGAGTTAAAGATTTTATAAACAGATAAATGAAAAAAATAACAACAACAACAACAACCATATTCGAAAT